AGAATTGCCAATGGTGTTTGGATGGCATGGATCCATTGCCAAGTGGCCAGAGCTGCAAGGTCAGCAGATACGGAAGGCTGGTGTGCCAGTGTCTACAACATTAGCAATGAGCCTTTTGAGATGAAGCATGAGGATGACCCTCATGGCATGACCAAGTTGATGCTGGGCTGGCAAAAGCTCTAAGCAGCCCACTGGCAAATGGTGATCCACCAGAAAGTAATCAGGTGATGTTCACCAGGAACCATGGGATATGCTTCAAGTCAATGTATTGGAAAGTGGGGGAATAGCTCCCATCATCTGGTCCTTGATAGGGTTGTGAACTGAGGACAGCAGGATACATCACAATGCCTACCTGCATTGATTGTGACATTGCACTGGGTAGATACCACAAAGCAATTGCATCCCCTTCACCCAGAATGATTGCAGGAACATCCAAATACCCACTCAGATATGGTGGGTGAGTGGTGTCACACACCAAAGGTGTTTGGTGAGGTGGACATGGATACAGCTGATGAATGGAGATGAAGACCATAGCCCTCATGCAAAGAAGGACAGCCAGGAATGTTGGCAGTCATCCCTCACACAAGAACAAGTCATCAGTGCCAGAGAAAAAGAAAGGGAGCAAGTTAAGTGCTGGCTAAAATTTTTAAGTGCCTGTGTATGGCATTCTGGTTTTCAACATATCTCTGCCATTTCTGCAGATACCAAGACCATTCCCACACTTGCTTGTAGTGCTCAGCCATGTGATCTTACCTTCCAAAATTGGAAAGGATTTGCACACTCCACATGTTTCTACAGCACTCCCTCCAAAAGATGCTCATTTTGCTAAATTCTTCTGATATGGCTGCCTCTACATCAATCATTTCACTTGTCCCCTTTGCTAGGGACCATGGCTACATGTATCTACCAGGAGTTCCTACCAGCTTCCATCCTGAAGCATCCTGGTACATCCCTACCCTCATCTGCCCCTCTCAGCCCATCCAGCTTGGACAGTGTGTTCTTTTTGTCAGTATGACCTCCAGGAGGACAATCTTTGGTCGCCTCAGGTCTGTCATTTGCTTGGAAAGGTCTTATGTGGCTTGTTTCAGTCTCTCCAGTCCAAGAAGCATATGGATCCTTCCTCCCTGCTCCCTGCAATGTCTTCATACCAGTCTTGTCCATCATTCATCCAAGATTTGCGACAGCTACAGTATAATCTACTGTTCCCCACTCTCCCTGATCACATCCATGACAAGTATGATGCACATCTTGCCTCCTTGTTGCAAGATACAGCAGAAGACACTCCCCCTTCATCCTCTCTTCCAACAGAGCCTCATTCATGAAGTTTTTATTTGCTTCACTGAGAGGATGGTTTGGGGGGGAAAGTTGTGATCCCCTATGCTCCTGTCACCCCACAGACCCCCAAAGCTTGACCCCTGTTGACATCTGACTCACCCTGTCCAGCTTTTGGATGTACTATATTGGTATCAGATCAGTGCTGCCTCTCTGTCATCCCACCTTGGCCTAGAAGCAATCTCTTTGAGATGTGACATGCACAGCCTCCCCCTAATGTGATTCCAGTGCACTTTCCCAGTTCCTGACATCAGCTTGACTCATACTTTGACATTCTGACTGTCTTTGACTCACCTATTGCCAATACTTACCAATCCCAATCTTTTGACATTGCTTACTGATTCTTCACTTTTTGGCTTGCTAATCCTTACCAATGCTTACCAATGCTTTCCAAGACGATTACCCATCAGCTTACATTCCTTACTCATCAGTTACCAATCACTTACCAAGTGTTTGCATCTTGTTTTCCAAGGGCAACACCCCTGTACTGTATATAAATCACTGTACTTAGATAGCAAAAAAAAGAAGACATCAGAGAGCCCCTCTTGCTTGCATTTTATCATCACTCAGTAGTTCATTCAGCAGCTTCAATAGTTGAGACTTTATTAAGGGTCTAACTATCATCTACTTCACTTATCCTTGTCTATCATCAATATACTTCACTCCAAGCCCTCCCTGAGCTCAGTGCAGCTTAGGACATTGAATTAAGCCACCATCCATCCTTCTGTAGGCTGACAGCAGTCTACCCTATCACTTTCTATCGCATGCTTGCTCCCTCTTTGTCAGGAGCACCCCCAACCCTCAGCACTTGTCCTTGAGTGTTGTAGCTTGCAAAAACCCTCCCAAAGAACAGGTTCTACCATCTAGGTACTGCATAGGCACACCACCACTTGCTCTTTTTGTCTTTTGTGTTGGTTTTGGTTGGTTTTCACCACTGAACCACACTTTGACTCACAGTGGAAAGGATGCAGGCCTCCTGGATCAAATTGAAACCTGTTTCTCGAGGTGATAAGCTTTCCAACAGCCTGATTAATTCAATGCCAGAGGGAACTGCAATAAATGTTAGCAGGATGCATGGCAGCTCTCTTAAAATGGCATACAGGGATTATGATAGGCCTGGGCCAGTGTTGCTGCCATTTGATTGAGTGTAATACATGTCTGAATCTCGAGTTCAAGAGGTTGTGGCAGGACAGTGGCAGTGCAAGGATGCAGTCTCATGGAGAACTTGGCAGCACATGTACTCTGCAAGCTGGTCAGAAAGTAGATAGTTGGATGGGAATGTGCTGGTACCAGACATTTCTAATGCAATCAGGTTGGGGAAGTTAAGGGAATCCACCAGCAACAAGGAGGATATCATCTGGAGATGCAAGGAATACACATGGCACAGATCCCTCCAGCTGCAGCAATTGTGTGGCCAATGTTGCCAGCAATGGTAGTGACTAATGTGGTAACACTGAACTAAATGTGGCATAGAAGTTCTCTGCAGCAACTGAGAACACAGCCTCATCAGCATTTTGGAATGCAGCTTGGCCAGAACACAACCTTGAACAACTGTGAATGCTGCTGAAGTATACATTACAGAAGATATTAGCCCCTTCCACATGTTCCAATTGGGGGTTGCACATTTCTGATACTGCTGGCAACATGAATCAAGGTCCAGATGACCAGCTGGTTTCACTAGTGGCATCTTTGAATGAGCAGTTTTCAAGCACCATGCCAGTGATGGTTCAATGGTGCTGGCACATCATGCATCTCTGACTGTGAACCTGGTGAATAGCTTTATAGACTGCCAGCCCAAGAATGATGTTAACATGATTGGGGCCATGGGGAGAAGAGTACACAAAAGACCCATTGATCAAGGGAATGCCCCTATTCAGTTACCAGCATAGATTCTGATAAGGTAAAGCTACCAGCCCCAAAGTAAGCTCATTATAGATGGTTGATAATATGTACAGAGGCTGTATATTCATTCCTGCACGTTTGACACCAACTCCACCCACACAACCTGTAAAGCAAGTTTAGATCAGGTAACAGCTTCCAGTGATGACATCCACTCCTGTGAATGTAAGATTAACTTGGAAAGATATGATAACTCTTGATCAATATCCTTCAAGCCTTCTGTGCACATTGCATGTAGTGCAGCACATTTGGCAGTGGGTGATGGATGTGAATTAATAAGCAGTGGTAGTGAGATGCCACCATTCTGATACAATGGGTGAGTTGCAAGTGAGCAAAGGTGTGCCACCACTTACTGATACTCCTGCACAAAATTCTGTGGCTTCTGTAATTATGTTCTGCAGAGGTCTCCTCTCATATCCCAATTCCACTTTGCTGCTGTCATTCTTCCACCATGCATGGGACATGGTAGTGGCCAGTTTGACATGGCACTCCTTAATCCTAGTCAGGCGGGGATTCAAGCTTCTGATGAAAGCTAAAATGTTGCAGGGACTCCAATCACCTTCATTCAGGTACATTAACAGCCTGTCAGCTGTGAGTGGCATGATCAGGGTAATGGGATGGCAAGATGCCATGCCCATCAGATGCTCCATTGTACCTTGTACCACTATCAACCATTGCTCCACCACAGGAACAGTGGCTTACCACTTCTGCCAGGAAATGTTGATACCAACTAGTGTGCCAGTATTCAGACCAATCCAGCTTCTTCATGGCAGCAACAAGGCAACAAAACCTTATTCCAAAGTACTGTACAGCCATGGAAAGTTCAGCCATGGTGAATGTTGATGACATGACTTACCAGCATGAAATATGAGATGTCATACTATATAAGCATTCACCAACTTTCCAACAGCTTTGCATGGTGGCATGCATCTGCTGTTAAGGCAGCACTCATCAGAAAATGCTCAGCTCACATTCAACTACACCAACCAATATGCGATCCATAACCCTGGCATCATTTGGGAGATCTCAAAAATGATGTCATTGCAGATAGCCAGTGGTCACTAGATGGAAATGGTTCACAGAAGACATGCTAATCTGCCATACATCTGGCATTGCCATGCAGCATAGCATGCTGGCCCAGCCTGTCCCTTTGCCAATGTGGCAGCCTTTCTGCCAGTCCAAAATCTTACCTTGTTTTCAAAGAAGTTTTTAGTCCACTCCTGCTCACATTTCAACAGCTGAACCTCCTCCTTCCATCTGTCCCACAGTGCCCTCATCTGGAGCCAATTGACCCTGTAGACTAGAGAAAATGATAAGTAAATCTCAGATGCTGTTGCCATGTGATTGCTCCTCTCACATTCTGACATCCAATCATTAGCAGTTGTGTCCCTTGGTACATCCATTGTCCAGATCCAAGGTAGGGTATCATCTCTGTGACCTCTGGCATTTGGGTCAGATACTGCTGTGCTGATAGTTAGGTCAGAGTCATTCAACTCTTTGTATTGCTTTAGGATATCCAGCCTGGCCCCTAACCTGCCCATTTGAATGCAGCACCAGCAGTACACAGCAGCATGACATTGCACTGCTGCCTTGGCATTGGCCACCCTTCCCCAGGCATGCATGGCCATGTGGTAATTACTTCCATGGTGAATGGCAGTTCAAAAGATGACTGCCTTCTCTGCAAGCACAAGCCGCAGTTCATGAAGACAATCATTGGCCTGTCCTTGCCACAGTTGCAGCTCCATTATTGTCACATACCCCAGGCCAGATCATTCAAAATGATCTTTGCCAACATTGGATGGCAGTGGCAATGCAATGGTTTCTGGATCATGCAGGTTAGATGACCAGCACAGCTCAGCATCCTTGAATCTGTCCCCAAATAGTTTTTTGGCAGTGTCAAAAATGCTGTGTATATGGGACTGGAGATGATCATGGTGACATGCAATGGTGAGATTTTCAGCTTCTGTTGCTCTTGAGGTGATGTGCTGGCATGCCACTGTCAGCTGGATTTGTGCTTCCTCTATCTTCAATGCCTTTGCAATCCAGGTCACCATACCTTGCAAATGCCCTGGCTGGTGGATGGCCAGTAAATCTATCTTGATTGCCTTTGCAGAGGGAGCTTCAATACCACTCAGCACAAATCCTGTCCAGGTTAACCTTCATTACCTACCTTTCTGCAGCCTGACCTCATATATATCCATGGCCTGTGGCCTTGACAGCCAGTTTTCCAATGCTGCTGCTGCTTCTTCCCCCCATGATTGGCTGATTGCCAGTGGGACATTACCATTCAAATCAGCAAACCTGCCTTCAACCACTAAATAAGATTCCTCAGCAACCTTGAGTTTCTGCTTGAGTCTCATTGCTGTAGCCTGTTAGCCATGCAACCATGTCTGATACAAGCACTAGACTTATGCATTCTGACCATTTTCAGGAAATTGCTATCATTCATTTGGAAATCAAGTACCTCCTGCCGATGGGGAGTAGCCATGCCTCTAGCAGATGGGGAAATGATATTCAGGGAGGACCACAAGGTTTCCATGATCTCCCCATCCACCCAGCCAGCACCCACAATGAAATTGGGAGCATACTGTGGAAAGCATTCTGTGTGGTGGCCATGAACATGCCACAACCCAATGCCAGGGCAGATCTGCATGCCATCTGGCATGGATATATAGGCATTGGCATGTAGCTGTTGTTCTAAACCTTTGCTATACTGGCAGTTAATATCATAGAAATGTATCACTTGCTGGCCAGGGACTGTGCCATGCCTGATGGCATGCACAAGCACATAGTCCATGTTAACCTGCCTGTAATGTCAATGTCAATATTGTCATACATTGTTACAAGGTTATTCATACTGTTTGCCCATCTGGAAGTCAACCATTGCATGCAGCACAAAACAGCCATGCCATGCACAGGCACATCCACCTATTCCTGTAGATGTGAGCTGCTGCTGGTTGGCATTTGCTTAATTAACTGCTTGATGATTGCTGCAATCCAAGATCTTGTAGTGTGATCAGTCCATCAGGTAATACATTCCTACACATCACCCACCTCAACCACATTTTTAGTGCTGCTCAAATATTCCTTGTATGGCTGTGATGCAACCATGTACCCCTTTCCATCCATCAACCAGGCTTCACTGCCAGCATCCTTTGGATGCATATGCTCTGCCTTGAAATTCCCATCCATGACCAAGCTTCTTGCCAGTGTCCAACTGGATTACACATTGTGTAAATGGCTAGTGGTGTTCATGTTATCACTCACTGGGAATAATCTGTTTCATCTTCAGGAATGTTGTGCTGGGCTGAGGACATGCTGGACAGAAGAACACTAATTCCCCAGGGCCAGCATCTTCTGCACTCATGTAGGCTCCCTGCCATTTCAGTAGTTTCAGGAGCAACCACATCCTAGCAACTCTCAACAGTTCCCTGTACATATCCTATCATCCAGCTAAGAGTTGTGTTGCAGTGATACAATTCAACAAATAGGACACACTGGCACCAGATGAGGAAAGGCATTGGAGGTTATGCAGCAAAGTTTGCTGTAGAAATTCATTGCTGAGGTACCACATTCCACATTGTCCTGAACAAAGTCATCAAGTACTTGGAAGGTAAATGCAGTCCTTGCAGCCTTTGTGGTAGCAGGAAACATCCCAGCCTGCTTCAGCTGTATGTGTGAATCCTCTGCCCCAGGGCATCTACAATACCACACATTGCAGTAGTGTATTCCATTGGTGTGCATGACAATTAGGCAGCTTCAGTTCTTTGGGGCCTGCAGATTTGGTGGACAACCATCTTGATCCACATCCTCCCAATCATCCTCCTCCTCAGCTATGACTTCATCATTTGAACAACCACCAGCTGGGCAGTGCTTCCCACCATGCCCAACATGCAGTACCAAACTGGCCTGAATGGTAAATACAGGAAAAACCATCATGATTCAGCTGCTTACCAGCTGCAGGGATGATTCCTCAAAGAATGTGCCATTCCATTGTTCCAACCTGTGGAAAGGCTGGTGCTTGTGTTCTGCCCAGCAACACATGGTGCAGAAGACTGGCCAATGGGCACATTCAATGCACCGGAAGATTCCATCTGCTCCACACAGGACACAATCCCTTGGCTCAGGTGGGGCCTCCATGTCCAACAGGATGGCTAGATAATGCTGTTGGTGCAGCAACCACTGCTACAGATAACCTATTCTACAATTGTGTGACACTGTCATTGCAGGTTTGTGGGGCAATGTGGCATTCCACACACCTGACTTTTCTGAGGTTTAGAAGGTGTTGCAGGCAATACATCATTATTGGAAGGCAGTTGTTCACCCACATCATCCAACAGGCAGTCCAGGTGACCTGGGATAACAGAGCCAGGCTGCACAGGCAGCTGAGTTGCATGGCCTGGCACCCACTTTCTGGGTGCTACTTTTACCATCTTATCCCTATATCCTCAGGTGGTATTCACTCATTGCCAGGTCACCTGGGTCACTCTTGTAGCAGGTCCCACTGGTGCAATCTTTGACTTCCCCATGATGAATGTTGCAATGCAGAAGGGTTTTGATTGCAACAAATACATGCAGCCTGACACATGCTAGCAAGGTCTGACCACTGACTATGGTAATGCTGTCTTAGGATCTGGCACATGATTTCAGTGCTGGCACCTGCACATTGCCTAGAGATCAATGAAATGAATGAGCACTTGCAAAAAGCCTTGTCCTACATCATGCTCATAGTGACTATACCATCCACAGTGTCTCAATGCACATTGCCCAATTACCAAAGATCTCAGATCCATGCAGTCTGAGAGGCACCACCATTGTACATGGCTCAGGGATGGAAATCTCATGATTGACTAACAACCTTAGCCATCTTTGGAAACTGTCTGATCAACTGTCATGCCAGAATGGACTAGACATGAAAATGTAACCTTCATTGACATGGGAGAATGCTGGAGAAGTCTATTCTCTTCAACAGACATCATACTAGCTGTCCCCAGAAAATTTGCACACAAGCACCTCCATCATCAATGGCATCCAGTGACTACAAAAGTGACTCGTTCTCCAACAACACTGAACCCTCCCTGCCACAAAAGGGAACCAGTCTTCAGCTGGCCAAAATTGAGATTCTTGAGGCCAAGCTAGAGTCATGGAAAAATGCTGACCAAAACAAGAGGAGCTCCATCATGTTAACCCTCAGAAACAAGATAAAGAACCTTGATGCAAATGTGATGCTGAAAATGCATGAATGGGTTTGGAAGAAGAAGGTGTGCCACACCTGTGATTGATTACCTGGCATGTCCTTACCATTTCCAGGCAATTCAGACTTGGTTGTACAACCACAGCCAGAGCTGTAGTTGATGGGCCCTGATCAAATATGGTGGCAGTTGGACACTGAGGAAGGTGGTCATGCACCATCAAAAGAAATCAATCAACAAAGTGTTGGAAGAAGCTGGTAACAAGTAGGGATCCACAGAAATGATCAAGTCTTATCTGAAGGCCATCAACACCATCATGAAGTCCCTTACTGCCAAGGAGATACAGGAGGCTGAGGCATTGGCCAAAGAATGGAATGAGTGGCAGCCACCTCAGGATGTTCAGTCAGAGTATGTACCATTTGGCAATGCTGCCCATCACTCACAAGAAACAGAACCACAGAGAAGAAAGGCCATAAATATGCTGAGGAATTTGCTAAGGAAATGTGGAAGTGGTGTGGTGCCAGGGTGGTAGTGATGGTGGCATGGGAAGATGCTGATGGAGAGGTGATAGTTGGAGTATGAGGAATTTGTTCTTTGTGCAGATGAGTACTGCCAGATTTTGACCAACTCATCCAGACATGATTTCAACGATGAATTGGGTAATGGCAAATTATTTGAGGAGTTGGATGAGTGCCAGGATAAATTTGTAAAGTATGTACAAACAACATTTGTGAATGGTGGCACCAATGCTGAGTCACCAGATGCCACTCCATGGTCAAGGCAGAGGAAGAGCAATGGGAAACCTAAAACCATCCTGCCAGTCAGCAAAAACAGCACACCATACATCCCAAACATATTGGACATGCAGGCACCGAAGTTGAAGGATATCATGCGGACATTTGTGACATTTCACTATTGTATGTATAACAATAGGGGAAATACTGTTCATTGAAATGCATTACAGGGAAGGCCTGCAGGAATTCACAGGCAACTGTTACATGGAGTGTGATAACGACCAACACTGCACTTTATATTGCACCACAGTTTCTGCCACCTGAGGTTCCCTTCAAAGAGCTGAGTCGACTCACCCAGGATGAGTTGACAGTGATCTTAGAATGGTGGCAAGAGAGAAAGGAATGGCATCCCAACAATATATTCAGCTTCAAGAAGTGGAGAGATGCTGGAGGGTCCCTCTGAATGCTGGTGGCAGAGGCTGACAGCAGTGGAGCAAGGATGTGTGCAAAGCAGGATTTGGATGGGAGACCAGAACACTTGGCAGGCAAAAGGATGATGGATAAAATGATGTGGGGTAGGAGGAAGCTGCAATGGCAAACAGGTATGATGGAATGCAACTGGAACTTAAATGTGCAGCAATATTATCTAATGGGGAACAAAGTTGTAGGGCTCTGATTCTGATGATGAATCCAATCTCTGTCAAATTCCACCAGCATTGCCATCAAACAGAAATGACAGTACAGGCACACACATGGTGGATGAAGATGCTGCAGAGGCAGTACCATTGCTGGATTCCCAGCAGTGGATTGCCAGATGCCAAGTGGCTGAGGGTAACACCTGCCAGCCAATTGGTAAGCCAGCAGGATCACAACAGCCAAATATTGTTAACATTAATGGCTGACATGTTTCAGCCATTGGCAAGGAACCATCAAATGCCTTGCAGCAGGTTGAGGGTGGCATCACAAGCCCTGTGCAACCTGTGCCTGATGCCTGCTGCATTGATTTTCCTGATTCAGTCTACCCTGGCAGATCATTTGGCAGTGCCAACAACTATCAGGAGAGACCATAAACAGGAAGATTCAAAGCACAAGTTGCCCATTCCATCAATGAGTCAGTACTTGTGCCATGGTCACTGAGTTGTGGATTCAATTTATCTCTCAATCCTAGTACCCATGCACCAACCAGCATAGACAATATGAGGGGTATGTGGCAGTCAAAATGGGTGCAGAAGGCACCAAAGCAGCCTGATGATGATGTTCCTACTCCTAGTCCCTCCAAGAAACATAGGTGATGTTAGCATTTGTATTTTACATGGCCATGGAAGGTGATACTACATTTTGACAACCAATGGCTACTTTACAACAAATCCTCATCCAGTTCCAATTCATCCTCACCATCCCAATCACTGGTCATCAAATCTTGTATATATTGCTGCATCCTTTCCAGCTGTGCTCTCCTTGCAAGCAACAGGCAAAACTGGATGCTTGATTCCACCAATATATTGCTGTAGTGGTTGTAGGCCACAATGATTTGCCCATCAGTAGTGGTGTTAAGACAGGGTGGGTGCTCATCAGTCAGTCCCGCAAGAAGAACTGCAAGCTGCCATGCTTTTTCCACTGCTGGATGATTGATATATATGCAAGGGATATCATAAAACAACTTACATGTTGTAATTGGCCCTTCGTCATGGAGTCCTTGTATACCCAAGTCACTGGAGAAACATTGCAGTGCCAAAAAGCAAGCTAATACACTTAATACTGGTGGCAACAAGAGATAACATGGCACTCACCAGCAGCAGCATCAGTGGCCATAGGCTGGGGGGATAGTTGCCATGATATAGCTGGGATGGGCTGTGGCTTGGAGGCTGCTGCACCATCTAACCACTCAGTCCATATATGCATGAACCATGGGAGATGGCACTGTTTGTGGAATTTGTGTGGATGCCAGCAATGATCTAGGTGGGGGTGAGACTGCTGGGGAAGATGTTGGCAAATCCTAGCTAGGTGCAATGGTGGCCAAGGATGGCATGGAATGACTTGCTTGCCACACCTCCCATTGTTGATCAGCAGCAGATGGCTGCAACTCTGGTGAAAGTGGTGGTGAGTCCCAAGATGGTGCAAGCATGCTGAGCGATGGCAGGGTAGGGCCAGCATTTGGTGGCATGGAGGATGATGGTGATCCTAGCTGATGGCCCCTGCCTGGCCTCCACCTTACTGACTTTTGCTCCATGATATTCAGCAATCTGTAAAATGTTGATAAGTTGATTGCAATGTCACATTTGGCTATTTGGGCTTGTTTGTCTACTGGCCAGTGTTGATGCTGGCACAATGGTTCATGAAAATATAAAATGTGGCTGTGCTGCCAATGCAATTGTCAACTATCACTTGACTGCACCACTCTCACACCAGTACCCCACTTCCACAAAAATGTCCCAACACACTGAAGCATCCCAAACCACTGCCACTGCCACTCCCTCCATTGCTCTCCCACATGAAATAGTCACTAATGCTGCAGACATAGTCATGGTGGAGCTTCTGATGCTCCATGACCACAGGAACAAGCAATACTGGAAAAGAGCTATGCACATCATTTGGGAACAGTTGGTTCATGGCATGCTGATCTATTTATCCTGTGATATTTACAATATTCCAGACCCATGTGCACCCTTTGGTTGAGGAACTGCCCTCAAAATTCACCATCCCTACCCACATCATCGCTGCCAAAATGATTATGAGAGATCCAGCAGTGCTTATGGCATTGAAGGAGTGGCTGAACTTTGACAAGATCAGAGACACAATAGATGCTGATGTCACAGACCATCCATGGTACCAGATTGGAAGGCCCATTGATAAGGGTAAAGGGCATGCAGTTCCATTAGACCCACTTCAGACAAGTGACAATGCTGCCACTGCTGCCAAGACTTTTGAAGAACCCTGCAGCTGATTGACTAGTTGGGCTGCTCCTACTGGCACTTGTCCTAGAAGTCAAAGGCCACAGAAGTGTACAAGGTCAGTGGCAGCAAGTGATGCTGATGTTTCGACAGCAACTGCTGGAGCACCCACTGGTCATGGCTGCTTGGTTGCTGCTCTTGCAACCCCTGCCACTGGCTATATGCCTGTTGCTGAAGAAGACTGATGTGATAGGTGCATGGAGAAAAATCTGCCATGCACAGTTAAGCCAGGTTCTGCATGTTGGCAGTGTAGCTGCCAGAAGTACAGGTGTAGTATCTTTGCTGGAGTGAAGGCCACATGGTCACAGTCAAGGTAACCCTGCAGTCGCACTGTAACTGAGGTGCCTGATGGAGCAGTGGACTGTCCCCAAACCATTGCAGCCACCCATAACCCCAGCTGACACCATCCTCAAAGCCCTTCACCAGGGCCATCAGCTGCTCCACGCTCTTGCAGGCAAAGTAAGTCCTCCATTTCTTTCATTCTGCTATTCTTATTTGAGCCTAACATAGTTTTCGATGGAGTGGTCATCATCACTCCATCCTGGTGGCAGTCAGGTTGGCAGACATCAAGCCCAGCATCCCAGGGGGCAGCAACATCCAAAAGCCATCTCACTACCCCATCCTGCCCAGTGACTCCCAATGCCACCCCAATGGGGCATATGGAAGAGGAGATCGCAGCATTGCAGCAGCAGCATATGGAGACAGCACACAATCTGCTAGATACCCACTGTGAGCTTGCCAATACCCAGCAGGCCCTTGCAGATACCCAGACAAAGCTGCAGATGCTTTGCAATGTTGTCAAGGCCTTACACCAGTGTCTGTACCCATTGCCACACTCCTCACCCAATGCACCTGGACCCTCCCACCCCTCCCCCATTGGCTTTGCAATTACAAGTCATCAAGCAGTTGTTCCCACTGATGGTGCAAGGATACTTGACCTTGTGCCCACTACAATGGCCCAGGAGGTTGCAATTGATACCAGCATCCTCCAGAACCTCCCAGGTGATGTGCTTTTAGCCCATTCTACTCTCCTGCTGCCCCCCCACCATTTTGCATACTCATCCACCCCTGGTGTAGGAGAAGCCTGGCCCCCTATCTATGTCTCTTTGGGGGCAGTTTCTGACTGTGCTGGTGGGGATGATGCTGATGATGAGGATGCTGCTAATTGGATGGACATAGATTAACATGTCCATAGAATGTACTATTACCATTTCATTGTCACTATTCCTGAGAATGATCATCCCTGCCCACTTTTGCTTTACATGGTGCAGATATGGTCTCTCTGGTGTGTGCCATCCCATTTGAGTCTGGCCAGGTGACTGGCCTTGCAATTTATAAATTCACTGGTACCACTAAGCTAGTGCACACTAGCAGCACCCTCAAATCATGCATGGTGCTTGCCACATATGTTCTGCACAATTGCAAGGGTTTAACCCACTGACCCAGGTTGTGGCCATACAATTGTGGCCTATGCCACTGAATGCTGATGCTGCAAGTGAATAGCACTTGACTTTGCCCATTCCTGTCTATGCCACTCAATGCTGGTGACACCTGACCCCTGCTGCTACCATTCCTGTGTATGCCCCCTGATGCCATTGACACCTGACCCTGCCAGAACCTCACATCCATGCCACCAGCCCATTCCTGACTAAGCTGCCACTCAACACTGTCTATGCTGCTCGATGCTGTCAACTTCCACCCCCTGCCAGTACCTCATATACATACTGCTACCCCATTCCCACATATGCCACCTGATGCTGTCAACCCCTGCCAGTACCTCATATCCATGCCACTGCCCCATTCCCATCTATGCTGCACAATCCCACCAGCTTCTGCTCTGCACTAGTGATTACCACTCCCTGCTTGCTACTGCTATGTCATGCCAGTGAGTTCTGCTGGTAATGCATGTTGTACTCTCCTCACTACCACACCCTGTCTCTATATGCAAAACTATGCTGATGCATACTAGTGTATGTGGCCATATGCTTTTGCATCTTCACTGGCTTACCACTTACCACACTGTCAGATGCAAGAAAATGCCACTTTTGCCTCAGTTATGCTCAGATGGTCCTTGCCACTGGTACTTGCCACTCCAGTAATCCACCCAGTATTTGGTGCAATGGCATATCATGTTTCCACCATGTGCTGGGAGTTGCTGCTGTGTGCTGCTGTATGCCCCAGACATACTGTGTTGTCATGCTGGGCTGCCCTATGTTCACAATGCAGATCTAGTCTGGGCTATGCTATATATGTCCCTATGACATGATGATATTTTATTTGAAGCCTCTCCATGTGACACCTAAAAATATAATTGTAGCTGATTCTGGTGTCATGCATGACTATACAATTGTAGCTGATCCTGAATGACACATGACAACATAATCACAGCCAATCCCTATGTTATGGTGACAACTCATAGGTCAGCTCAACCTACACTGGCCCATGTCACATGACCAATTGTCAACCTCTGCTGGCCATGTCACACAGCCTAACTAGGTACATGGGCTCCCCACTGATACCTTCTCCACCATCTGCAGAACTGATCCCCTGCAGAGACAAAAGAGTAAGTATCCAAATACTTAATAAAAAGATGGTTAACACCCAAGCATCCATTCACCGAGCAACAAAAGCTTGAGCATCATTCTTACCTCCTAGCCTGATGACTCAGCCTGGTGCTGAAGTTGTCAACAAGTCCCCACTTCTGAAGCTGACTCCATTAGGAAGTCAGTATTCCACCCCAGTTGGTAAGCCCATTGAGGGTAGCATCCAGAGCTACAGCAATGTGGTTAAAAATGGCTCTAGGAGCCCCAGTCTAGTGTACCATGGTGTGGCTGTAGACACTCCTGGTTCGAGCCCTAGTTTGCTGGTGTATCCTGGTGATGACATCATCCCAGAGACCTCACAAGCTAGATCTGTTAGAGTTCAGGTACTGACTCACAGAGATAGTGATGCCTTACCCAATGATGTCCAACGTGAATCCATGTCCATGTTCCCAGTGAGTGAGACAGAGGTGGAGCACACTGAATGGATGAAAGTGGTGCACAGATGATCACATGATTGTCATGCCCAAAGCAAAGTAAGATCAGATGTCAGAGACACCATCAGACAGGCAGAATGATGAATGACCCTGGATGAAAGAGCATGAATCCAGAGGAGGTCTTTGTCAGTGGCAAGAAGCAGTGCTGACAAGTCTATGTCTGAGAGCAATCAATTGCCTGAAAACAAAGATCCTAAAGGGAAAGGCCCTGACCCTAAGAACTGGGGAGGTTTAAATTTTGATGATGCAGAAGTAGATCCTGATGCACAGCATGCAGCCCTCACATCATGGAATATGGTGAACATGCTCACCAAGGATGGTGGACTAGAACACCAACCTGGTGCACTTGAGGGAAGCCACTCAAAGAATGCAAAATGTAGGTCTAAGAAAGAAAAGTCTAAGCACAAAAGGAAGACTAAAAAGAAAACAACTAAACCTGCAAAGGCACTCCTGAATCCTGTAAAAGATATGGTGGATAAAGCTGTGTGCCCAGATCACAAATGGCAAGAATGTCAAAAGATGCCTAAGGCCATGGAACCTATAAAACAGATCAACCCAAAGAGCTTATAGGACTCATGTTCAAATGGATAGAGAAGGATGAGAAATGCTCAAAGAAAAATAAGAGAAAGGTGAGATGAAAGTTGGACTCTTCCAGTGATGAGGACTCCAGTTCATCTGAGTCCAAAGACTTGTCCAGTGAGAGCTCTAGTGATGATGGCTTGTCTTCTTCTAGCTCAAGTAGTGATACATCGAGCTCATCAAGCTCGAGTGATGATGACTTGTCCTCAATGAGCAGTGACTCCTTGTCTGACACAAGTGAATCATCTACAAGCTTGCGAAGATGATGAGGAAGGTCCTGACACCATAAAGGGTGAGGCAAAGGATGCCATAAATCTAAGAAGTGTTCCAAATCCCAAAGAAAGACAACACTCAAGCCTATCCCACATCAGGAAAATAAGGCACTGTTCACCCTCCAAAGTCAAAGTCAAAGTTTTTGACTTCAACTTTGGCAATGTAGTCACATGATGATTATATAAGCTGTGCATGCCTGTGTGGATAAAGTCCAAGTTTTGGGCTTCTGCTTCAGTAATGTAGTCATGTGATGATTATATAAGACAACAACACAACTTGTAGTTCAATAGATAACATTGTGATAACAGATCAAACAACTCTGCTATGGATCTTGAAGCACAGCAGCTCCAGCACCATCGTCATTGCCATCTTGCTGCACTTGTAGTAGCAGTGATGATCCAGGTGCTATGCCTCTATGACCTCCTTTTTCATTCTGACTCAGAACCAATCCCCTACCATACCTCAATCCTGACTGGTGAGGGGTGGATGCTAGAGCTCCTGAATGGTTATCCAGACAGGATACAGACTTGCCTTGGCATCAGCCATGGGGTTTTTGATCACCTGATGCAGGTGCTCACCCATCATGGTTTTGTGCCTTCTCACAATGGAATTTCTGTGGAGGAACAACTTGGGATATTCCTCTACACCTGTGTTACTGGGTTGTCATCCCAGCATGTTGCTGAGAGGTTCCAACACTTACCAGGGACCATCACTAGGTAGGGAGTTCATTGGACTGTCTGATATTTTTCTCACAATTTTTTAGATATTTCAAAGCAATGTTGGCTTTCTTTTCTGGGGGACAATTCTGTGCATCCCAAGTGCAATTCCCCACCAACAACACTCCCATATCAACTATGATTACTAGTGACCCATGCTTCCAATTTTTCCAGGATTGTATTGGTGCAGTTGATGGCACTCATATTCGAGCATTCACTGCTGCTGAGGACCAGCCTTACATCAGGAACCAGAAGGGCTACCTATCTCAAAACTGTCTCTTCATCTGTGATTTTGACATCTTCTTCACATATGCCCTCACTGGCTTTGATGGGTCAACTGCAGATGCAACCATGTGGCATGATGCACACAGGAATGACTTGCACATGCTACCTGGGAAGTACCTTCTTGCAGATGCAGGGTTTGGGACCTGTGATGCACTTCTGGTTCCCTATTGAGGTGTTCATTACCATCCGAAAGAATGGCACCAGGCTGGATTAAGGTAAGTTGCTATTCTATCCTGCTCAGTGTACCTGTAACTTCTATTTTATAGACCTCAAAACCAAGAGGAGTTATTCAACCTTTGCCATGCTGGACTTAGAAATGCCATTGAACAGATATTTGGTGTTATAAAACACACATGGAGGATTCTTCAAATTCCCCCTGAATATAGCATCCACACCCAAACTCAAGTACCTGCTGCTCTCTGTGCCCTCCACAATTTCATATGGCTCTATGATCCAGAAGAGTTCTTTGACCCTGAACTTGCCATGGACATAGGAGGGGGTGATGGTATTGGAAGCCTTGGTGATAGACCAGCAGATGCTGCAGAGAGGAGAAGGGCTGATAATAGGCATGACAACATTGCAGAGGAGATGTGGATTGACTATCAGCACCAGCTTACAATTAGGGGCCTTCTCTGAGCCTGAACATTCAGATTTTATGGTGTACAAATATATTTTCTTACAATTGTTTCACACTCATGTAGAAAAATAACTTCCATTGTCAAAAGGAAGCTAGTCATAGTCACATACATTTTATTATGTACATATTTGTATAGAGGGGGGGGGGACTTGAAAAGATATACAAGGGGGGTACATTTGTATATTGTAAAAAAAAACAAAAAACAAACACCTATCTCTGCCCATCCTGGTACTTCATCAGCTGACACTGCACCCAAATATGCTTTGCCAGCTCCTGATGCTTGAGGAAAATATTCACTTCATCTGGAGATGTGCTGAGGAAGTAGTTGCCAATGTCAATCCAATTGTCTGTCAAGAGCTGCAGCATGTTGTTGATGTAGTCCATGGCAGCATCGATGAGGGGATTGGTAACAGGTGGCAGGGGCAATGGGGCAGTGATTGCATGTGTGAAGTTATTGAGCCTGGAGGTGATGGCAGTGATGAATGAACTGTGATCTTCCTTTAGCACATGCTTTGGCCAATGGGGGCTGAGAGCACTTCAATCCACCTTCAGACATTGCAATGGACTTGGCTTTCCTTTTTCTGTGACTGATGCTGGTAATGGCTGGTGATGATGATGACCCAGCTGACACATGCAACAAAAAAATTGATGGTGTGG